AAGGAGGGCAAGCTCAGCTACGTCGGCCGTCTTCCCCAGTACGATGCCATTGGCTCCAACTGGCGTGAGATTCGTATCGTCGGCGACATTGTTGTCATTGGCTCTGAGGCCATCAAGCACGGTGTCCAGTTCTTCGACATGAAGAAGGTCCTCGACCTGGACCCTGCCAACCCCAAGAATTTCACGCAGGCCGATCTGACCGGTCACTGGGATGAGCTTCCTGTCGGCCGTACCCACAACATTGTGGTCAACCACGAGCTCAACTACGCCATTGCTGCTGGCTCCGTCGGTGGCAACGCAACCATTCGTGTCCGAGACAACCTGCCCTGCCGTGGCGGGTTGATCTTCCTCGACATCAGCGACCCGACAAACGTCACTAGCCCTGGGTGCGCTGCCGGTGACGGCTACGTTCACGACGCCGAATGTCTCGTGTACCGTGGCCCCGACACGCGCTACTACGGCCGTGACATCTGCTACGGCTACAACGAGGACACTCTCACCATTTACGACGTGACGAACAAGGTCGGTAACGTCACCAACATCATCTCCATCTCCGACTTCCCTGGCGCCGAGTACATCCACCAGGGCGTCGTCAACAACGAGACATGGCAGGAGTATCTCTTCCTCGACGACGAGTTTGACGAGCGCGACGCCAAGGTCGGTCCCATGACCAAGGGTCTTCCCACCACCCATATCTTCGACATCCGTGACCTCGAGAAGCCCGTCTACACTGGCAACTACGCTGGCAAGACTCGCTCCATTGACCACAACCAGTACATCGTCAACGGTCTCCTCTACCAGTCCAACTACGGCAACGGCCTCAACGTTCTGGACACCAGCAGCGTCACCAAGGACCCTACCGGTGCCAGCATCTGCGAGGTCGGCCACTTTGACATCCACCCCGAGGACGATGAGGCGCCCGGCGGCGGCGTGGTCGCCTTCACCGGCTCGTGGTCTTCATACGCCAACTTCAAGTCCGGCTTCATCTTCGTCCACACCATTGAGCGCGGCAGCTTCGTCGTCAAGCTGACCTCCAAGACATGCCCCAAGCCCCCCAAGTGCAGCTCCAACAACTGCATGCGCGCTCTCCGCGCCTCGCATATCCCCGGCCGTCTCGAGGAGTCGATCGAGTTCTGTGGTAACTTCACCGTCCGCCAGGAGACTGACGAGAAGCTCGTGCCGTCCTACGCCGCCAAGGCCTGCGGTGGCGAGAACCGCGATGTCGTCGAGCGCGTCAGCAGCGCCTGCGCTTGCATTCCCAAGACGGAGGTGCCTGAGCTCCCGCGGACGACCTCCCGTCCCCCTGTGCCCACGGTTCTCCCCCCTTGAAGGCTGTGCGCCCTCTACTGGTAAACACAGGCGCGGCCTATTCTGCGCCTAGGACTGAGATACGAAGAAAGAAACTTTCCACATTTTCCCACATTCCGTCCACGTGTGTCTTGCATGGCGTGACAGAACCTAATTTCGGAGCCGGATGCCGCTCCGATGTGTCAACTGTAGCGGCCTCCACTTGAACTTGGTGCAAAAGCCGCTTAATCATTGACCGTTGACCAGCTTCATCAACTCACTTAGAGCTCTGACTCCCGTCCTCGTCTCCACCCCCTGTGGTACCTGTCAAAAAAGGTAGGCAGGCCGTTCCAGGATCCTGACTCCCATGTCTCACATGGATCCATTGGGGTAGAACATGTGGTCTGAGGTAAATGAACATGCCATTATTTGCCTTCCGGTTTAGCTTTAGCATTGCGTGGCCCTCTGGAGTGAGAATTCCCCTGCAACGAGCGAGGGAGGTCAATTGCCGCACCAGCTCTGCATTCCTGCTGTGGTAAATGCGCCGTGTCCTCGCAGAACCTATGAGGCAGACCCGATCGTTGGCGTTCCTTAGAAAGCTTAGGCTCCTTCAGCAATTTATCCGACACAAACGCTAACCGGGAAAAGCTACCTGAGCCTTGTCGCGCTACTGGCCGTCCAACATGGCGCCGCGGGAGCCGAAGGAGCTGCGCTGATACCAAGATAAGGTGCCAAAAGAAGCTAGTAGAGGATTACCGCACGATTACCAAACGTCTCTAAACGTAGGGGGTGCTGGATTGACCGCCAGTCGACTGCCGTTGGCGAATGGCTAGTGCTTTTCATCAAAGTGTACAAAGAGGCCCATCGCCAACTCGTGGACTTGCAGGTCTACGGTTGACACCTTGATCCGCATCGCTGACCAGGCAATCAAAGGATTGAGAGGAAGTTTCGCCCTCGTATCACTGATCCAGGAAAGTAATTCCATGTTCTCATGACGTGGCTACCACATCTGCAAAGCATCCAGCCCCTGCTGATGAACGGCTCCGAAGTTTTGGATTGGGTTCTGACATCTGCTTCTCCGGCGGTCGTACATGTATGTCCCGCATTAGCTGCTCCAGAATGCAGGTCCCATAACTGAGCCACCAGTAGGCTCTCCTGAGGAATGGCAACTGGCTCGTCGGGGAATGAAACATCTGCTCTGCAGGCCCAGGGATAACTGTATGAAGACAAGCCTTTTAAGTTTGGCTTGTCCATAGGCGTTTGCCTACCCTGTCCATCTGGTCTGCTGCTTGTTCTTTCCATCTGCCGGCCCATCACTGTCCAAATCTTCCTCTGAGATCCAGACTTCGGTTCTCTTTTGGATACCCGGCTCCAATGGAATGTCACTGTGGTCGCTTTTGGCGTTGGATCCACGGCGCCCCGCCTGGACATACGTCTCAGGGCGCCCGACGTTGTCTCCGCGAAGCTTGCTCGCCAGGTAGCCGGTACGAGAATGCGAGTTCGGGGTGTAGGAGGGGTTGCTCGAGGTTTCTTTCTCGCCGAAGACATGGACATAGACCTGGCGAGACAGGGCAGTGTTGGCGGCAATGATACCCAGGTACAGCTCGGCATTGGAATAGATGGCGGTTCTGGCATATACCCCTGCGTGGTCCTTGTGGTTAGCAAACGACAGGTACAACAGCCGTGTGGTGAACGTACAACTAAGATCCGACGTGACGAGGCCCAGCGATGATGCCCTCACTATACCGAATCCAGTGGCGCTGCAAGTCATCAGCGACATGAACCGCAACATGTACCAAACAGGCCTTCAACTCACATCAGGCCGAGGCCCATGAGGCAGCAAACAGAAACCTTAGTCTTGAACGGAATCTGAACTTTCCATACAACAACTAGCGGGAGGAGCGAGCAGAGAAGATCCGTCAGCACCGAGTAAGCTGCGCACAGGTGGATGGGTCAGAGGTGGTCCATACAAAGCTTGAGAGAGGAGGGGGCCCGCAACATACAGATCGTCAGATAGATCGAGTAGATCCGAATCTTGGGTTCCCAGCACGTGCCAACACCTGTCCAGTACGCCGAGACAGGATCACACTCCGCCAGCAGGATGATGATACAGCCAAAGTTCGTCACAACAAGCCCAGCCATGACGCTATACAGGGTGATTTTCAGCGACTTCGTGTTCTTGATGCGGAGGAGCAGAAGCATGATCGAGCACTTGAGCAGGCAGATGCTTGCGAACAGGAGAATCTGCGCGAACCAGCCCAACATGTTGCTAGTCTGGTAATCGTGTTTCTCGAGGTACCACCTGTGTCGGCCGTTTCCAAACGTACCCTGCGCGACCTGCACTCCGAATCGAGCCGTGGCGAGGACCGTCACCATGGCCATGGTGTAGTCGTCCCATCCCAGGCTGTGGCGCGCCAGGCGCACCCACAAGCGGAGGCAGCTGGTGATGATAACAAAGGCTATGAGCGTACCAGATACGCCAATCAGCGTTGGGTTGATATTTTCGTCCGGTGGTAGCGGGTTCGGGGGTTTGACGACGGCCATGTTGAGGAGGGAGAATAGGTCGTAGGTCTATGCCCAGCAAAGATCTGACAATCACAGCACTGTGGCTTGGCGAAGGAGAAAAGAGGGTTTTTAGGGATCAACATCCACTGTTTGGGGCTGATGCGATTATCGCTGGTAATGTACAATCTCGTTCGAATCACTCGAGACCTGTTCCGCTTGTTAACAGGGCCGGCAAAACTGCCGTCAGTAGACCGGTGAGAAGGCAGCTTGCCATCGCGGACAGACTGAAAAGTCCGAGTCAGGGGGAAGGTTGAGGCTGCCGTCAGAGGCTGTAACCCGACCCTGGGCCGCTCTTTGTCCCTTGTGTTGACCTTGGGGGACGGATGCCAAAGCTGAGTTCGTCCTCTGCGAGCCCTTGAAGATTGTGACATCTTAGCAGGGGGGTTGACTCGACGTGTTCCTGGCAGCGTGGGCATTTCCACGTGTGCGAACAGGTTCAAGCAGCGGCCTTGTGCAGAAATGGCCATCTCGCGGCACAAACTGACAAACCACGTTGTTTTCCTGCTAATAAACTTTCAACCATCGAACCATAGCTACCACTGCCGTCCTCTCGCGGTGGAGTGGATCAAGCTTCCTTGCATTTTCCCAAGTATTCCTTACCCTCGCTTAGAACAGAGAGGGGAAGCGCGCCACCACGGGCGAAGGCGCAATATACACGAGTCACGACTCAGTCGGCTAAATGGCCCGTTCCGTTCGGCCTGTGTTCGCTCTCTTGCCGGGCATCCAGCCATGGCGCATACTTTGTATGAGTGCTACATGTACGGTACATGGTTACCCCAGGACCCCTGCCCTGCTGTCAGGGGCCTTCTTCTGTAGTGAATGCCACCTACCCTTGTAGCTATGATAATGTTGCAGAACAGCCCCCTCGCTGCCCTTGGTACTAGGCGAACAAACATCCAACCAGGCGCAGTACCATGCCAGAGGGTCTCTTAGCGTCTGGTCACGTTCTACGTTATACCGGGTGTCACGTTATTCAGGCGAGGCAAATGATGCTGTCCCCGCTCCTGTTCCGAGCAAAACAAACCACGTTTTTTTAATATAAGGTAAGACGACTCACTACACAACCGACCTATGTGGGAGACTTGCAGCGTTGCCACGTCGCTTATTAACTTCCTTCGCACAGCACAGCCCTGGGTCCTTTGTCGACAATGCTCATTGCATCGGGCCTAACTCTCGCTGCCCTTGTGGCATGCGTCTCGGGTGCTCCTCCAACGGAGCGATCAGGTTGCAAGAGCGCCACCTACGATTATGTATGTTTCATCTTATGCTGTTTCCCTGTTGTTCTTTGACCTTTGAGCCCCCCATCCCCTTAGCCCTGCACGAGGGTTGCCACCTCCCTCGAAAGCGATTCTACCACGGAGTTCTAACAAAGATGTCACACTTGTAGATTGTTGTGGGTGGTGGCACCGCTGGTGTAGCTGTCGCTGCTCGTCTAAGCGAGGGTTTGCCCAACGCCAAGATCCTATTGATCGAAGCCGGGCCTGCCGTCTCGGATGAGCCCAGAATCAACATTCCGGGCATGAAGGGTTCGACTCTTGGCACCAAGTACGACTGGAACTTCACCACAGTCCCTCAACAGCATGTGAACAACCGGGTGTTGCCTGTCAACCGTGGTAGGGTTGTCGGCGGCAGCTCCGCGCTGAATCTCATGACGTACGATCGCGCTGCCGTTGCTGAGTATAACAGCTGGGAAGAACTCGGCAACGAGGGATGGAACTGGAAGAACATGATTGCTGCCATGATGAAGTCTGAGACATTCACCGGTAAGAACACAGACACTTACGGCTCTGCGGGTGTCGGTGACAGCGGCCCTGTCAAGGCTGTGGTCAACCGCGAGATCCCGGTTCATCAGGAGAGCTGGATGCCGACATTGAACGCCCTCGGGATCAAGACGAACCTCGAGTCCTTGGGTGGAAACCCCCTTGGCGTCATGTACCAGCCCAGCAGCATCGACCCAACCATCTACAACCGCTCCTACAGTGCAAATGCCTATTTGCCCATCGCCAAGCCAAACCTGCGCGTCTTGTCCGACACGACCGTAGCCAAGGTCAACCTGGTGGCAGCCGGCGGTGGCCATGTCGCGACTGGTGTGACCCTGGCCAACGGCACTTTCATTCGCGCCAGGGCAGAGGTTATCGTGTCCGCTGGCGCTGTTCAAAGCCCTGCCCTGTTAGAGGCATCCGGTATCGGCCAGGCACCGGTCCTCGCCGCCGCTGGCATTGCGCAGTTGATCGACCTCCCCGGCGTGGGCGAGAACCTCCAGGATCACCTTCGGATCATGACCTCTTATCAGCTCAAGCCGGAATTTCTTTCCTTCGACATCTTGCGGTCAAATGCCACATTTGCCGCCGAGCAGCTTGCGCTCTGGAATGCCCGCAAGAAGTCACTCTACGACTACACCGGCAGCGGCTATACCTTCACGACCTGGCAGCAGGCCATCGGCGACCAGTCGAACCTCGTCGCGCTCGCCAAAAAGGCGGCCGGCGAAGACATCAGCGCCGTCGACAAGAAGAAGATTGAATTCCTCAACGACCCTTCCGTCCCGCAGCTCGAGGTCATCTTTTCGGACGGATATACGGGTGTCAAGGGTTACCCGCCGGCAAGTTCGCCTCTCTTCGGCCAGGGCTTCTTCACCCTCATCGGCGTCGTCATGCACCCCCTGAGCCGCGGCAGCATCCACATCAACCCTGCAAACCCGAGCGGCAAGCCCGTCATCAACCCCAACTACCTCGGCCACGAGCACGATATTGAGGCCGTTGTTCAAACGGCCAAGTACTGCCGCAAGATCGCCACCACCGAACCCATGAAGTCCCTCTGGGTCAACGAGTACGAGCCCGGCCTGGACAACGTGCAGACCGACGCCCAGTGGAGAGATTACGCCCTCAGAACCACTCTCAGCATCTTCCACCCCAGCGGCACTTGCGCCATGCTGCCGAAGAAGGACGGTGGTGTTGTTGACGCGAACCTCAAGGTGTATGGCACCTCGAACCTACGCGTCGTCGATGCCAGTATCATCCCTCTGCTCATCTCTGCCCACATCCAAACCGCCGTGTACGGTCTTGCCGAGATTGCGTCGGAGAAGGTCATTGCAGAAGCCGCCACGAAAGCGGCCAGGAACGCCGCCAGGATGGCTTGAACGTCCTTGGGATCCTGGTGACGGGATTGTACATACTTTAGAGCTTTCAGGTTCACACTTACTATGCTGGGTGCAACAGGCTGCATCCCCTGCGGCGTGGGTCTCGAGCTGTTCTCATTCGAATGTAGCCATGTGGTCTTCAGCATTGCGTCGGTGCAAATTACTCTCTTTTAAAATAATATTGAACAAGCTTTCCCTGATTCTAGTCGAACGGGCGCCAACGCCTTATGACCGTTGTGAAAATCTCATCCACTCTCTGTTTCCCCTAGTCCTGTTGGGCTCCTTAGCTCCCGCTTCAGCTCAGTCTGTGCCATCCCCACCATATTGCCTACTCAGTCTCTTACGCGAAATCGGTAGTAAATGGATTAATCATCGCACTACCTTTCTGGGACATGTGAGTGGGTGTCAGCCTTGGCGCATTTTTTGTCGTCGACTTGCAACCCCGCACCTCGAATGGGACCAAAAAAACAGCGCAGCGCCATGGAGGAGCAAAGGAATGGACAATGCGCGAATCGAACGCGCGACCTTCAGCAAGCACTGTAGTTGTAGGAACAACTCATCGATGCTAAGCAGACGTTATACCACTAAACCAATCGCCCAATGATGGAGGGCCGCCTCGAACGGTATGGTCATGATCCTGAGGGTCGAGCACGAGTGGAGCTTAAACAAAGCCAGCCTCGCATCACGCTGCTGCCTGTCTTTTGTACGATGTCTGCCCACGTTATACTTAATCAGATGAAGAGTCGATACATGACAGGAGCGCTAGCTTGACCTAGCCAAAGTGTTCGCAGGGGTTCATTGGCGCCATGATGTGGGCTCGAGTCAAAGAACCAGTCTTTTTGGTCGCAGGAGGCACTGCTACTCGATCCGTATCCTCATTCTTTAATGGAGTATCCTGATAGCAAAAGGTAATTCATATCAGTCTTTCTCACTCCATACAGGTTTTGAGATTCCTTGCCAGACATGGTTCGCGGCGCTCACGGGCCTTCTGTAGACACTTGCCCTCTGGCTTTCGGCAGACCAAGTTTCAGCAATCATGACCAATGTTGATTATACTAGAAAAATACCATCACTTTCCCGTTGGTCTGCTGAAGAAGCTTGAGTAATGGAACCTGTTAAAAGACGCAAATGAAATGGAGAAGTTGTTGTCATGGATTTCCGATTCGGCTTCATCTCTAACCAGTCTAACAAGACCGGCGAGGTTGGCCAGCATCCTGCACCTACGAGGCTACGTGAACCTCAAGAGAAGAGGCACGAGGCTTATAACATGGTCGGTATATGAGGAGGGATTGGACTTGGTTCGTGGATTTTGTCTAGTTCAAAAGTAATATGTTATCTAAACTCTTCATAAATGGTGTAGGCTGTAGTGTTTTCAGTGGCTCAAGTCAGCATGTGGAGCAGAGACTAGTCGCCACGTGCAGCAGCAGGTGTGGAACAAACCTGATGATCGAAAATTACTCCGAATGCAAGTCATATCTTGGTGCTGAGGGGTTCGCGGACAGGAGCCCAATCCCGCAATCTACATCGTGTTTCGATCAAAGTGTTCCCCGTCTACGCGCCAATGCGAATGCAAGGCACCTCCGTTGCATATACCAGGCATTGCGGCGAAGTTGTTGTTTTGCTCTCTGCTTGCAATATTCAGGCCTGTTCATCATGAGCTTCTACTATCATCAATTCCTATCGGCTGCATCCAAGCCCCATTGTTTAACTCGAGTCGACTGGTTGTTAACATAGACTCAAACTCTGATCATTACTAGGTAGATCATCTGCACCGGGGATTTAAAGAACGGCGCGGTAGGCTTAAATCCAGGATGCGTCGCACGCTAATGCATCACGTTCCAAGATCCTGAGGTTTCGACAACCTCCGATTGGGCCGCCTATGAAATCAAGACAACCCCAGGATTGCTGGGCGTACAGCAATCCAGGACTGCCGAAGGGCGGGGAAATCATATGTCAAAGGAAGCCACGAGGGCAATCATTTCCAGAACAAGACATTCGGAGGGACATAATCCTTCCCATTCCTATGCCTTGGCCGCCACCACATGATACAAGTCCAACAACACGCATGAAAGCCAATTGTCCACCAATTGACCTGGAAATAAAGTAGAGTAAACCAGGAAAGTGTGTTATGGACCGGAATTCGATCAGGTCCATGCCGTAATATCAATTCCAGACATTCATATGAGCCTACGGCTTCAAAAGGGATGCAGAAAAGCCAACAAGTATAAATAATTACGCGTTGTGGCCAGCTGAGTTCGAAATTCTGGAGACTTACCAAACGAAATCTTTTACTTTCAGACCAGCAGCTGCCCTTCAATCAGAATGAAGTTCTCGGCCATTTTTGGGCTTACGCCACTTATCGCCTCAACGGCTCTCGCCTGCAACGGTTACACTGGTGGTGTGCCCGTGGCCACCAACACTGTCTCTAAATCTACCTACATCGAGGTCAAGGCCGGCGAGGTCTACGACGGCCAATGGCAGCGTTTCGACCGCGGCAGCGGTGCTTGCGGTGGCGATAACGAAGGCGGTATGTTGAAACAACCAACAGGCAAAGCACCGACCATCCATAAGACTGAAGACTGAATCCATTTGCAGACTACAAAGATGCCGTCTTCTACCTTCGCGCCGGTGCTACCCTGAAGAACGCAATCATCGGCAAGAACCAGGCAGAGGGTGTTCACTGCGATGGCCACTGCACCCTTGAGTTTGTCTGGTTCGAAGACGTCTGCGAGGACGCCATTTCCATCAAGAACGACAAGGCTGGTGCTCACTCCTGGATCATTGGCGGAGGCGCTTACAAGGCCTCGGATAAGGTCGTGCAGCATAACGGATGCGGGACCGTCAACATCATCAACTTCTTCGTCCAGGACTACGGGAAGTTATACCGTTCGTGCGGCAACGTATGTCTTCGTCTCTTGGTGTGCTTGGGATGACTTTTGCTAACCTCTCCGATAGTGCAGCTCACAGTGCAAGCGTAACGTCTACATTGAGGGTGTAACGGCCAGGAACGGTGGAGAACTTGCGGGCATCAACAAGAACTTTGGTGATACTGCTACACTGAAGAATGTGTGCACTGATGCCAAGACTCCCTGCCAGTTCTACCAGGGATGCGCTGGTGGCTGTGAGCCTAAGAAGGACGGCGCTTGCTCCGGTTGAAGGGCGGTTTTCCTTTGGAAGCAATGGCGCACGGAAAGCAAGCAGTCGTGACGTCCATAGAACGGCTGCGATCTGACTTGCCCACTCCTTGCCTGTGTGTTTCACGGAAAATGTCACGACCCTGTAGCTGCAGTAGCATCTCTGTTGTTGACCTCCGCAGAAGTTTTCGCGCATGAATGAGAGTTGATGTACCTATTCTGACCAGAGCCTGTGAATCATATTGTCTGGCTTCATTTCAGTGGCTTGAAGGGTGACTGAGGGGAAGACAGATAACCTCCCATGCGATTCCCTTCTGTTCATCACAAAGCTGCGTATCATCATGTCGATGTTGATCCAAACACCTTAGTAAGCATGGCCTGGAGGAGTGCGGTTCATTTCTCGTGATGGACAAAGCATCATCTCGCAAACGAAGTGAACCTTGAAACACGAAGCATAAAGTCCCACGTTCTGGTTGTCTCCCGCGTCATTCCATCTCAGGGGCCGATTCAGGGGTTCAGAGGGTCCATCCAGGGACCAAGCGCCACAGCTCCAGCCACAGGCCACATTCCTCAAGCACAGTGTCACACGGCGCTTCCGTCACCATGGAATGATGCAGATCGGTACGTACCCCCAACCCGAAACGCGGTGTCCAGCTCGGGGTGACACTTCGCGACGGAATGCCCTGGCTGCTTCATGCATCGAATAGGTGCCGTCACAAGGGCCCCTTCCAGTTGCCCAACGCATGCGACAACCTCACCGACGACAGCAGGCATAGAGATGCCTCGCACAGCATCATGGACTTTGTAAGGATTCCCAGAGCCGCTGCAAAGCTACCTTCTACCACTGATCTAACCCGTCTGCCTGCAGTGGTCACGACTCTTAGCTGGCACATCGCTTGCCTCGGGCGACTCCCGCAAAGACGATGGCAGCAACCCCACCAAGCGACTGCATCGATTCGACAAGGAGTTCAACCAAATACTGGTCAGTCGAGGCGTTTCTTTGCTGACTACCGGGACTGTCCCAAGCTGACGAGGATACAGCACATCTGGAGGTCCTCTTCAAATCTCGCCAAGGATGATGACGCCGCCGAAGCTCTGGAGATCCGTCTCCAAGAGCTGACCAACATCCTCAGCGACGAAACCCGACGTCCATTACCTCATACGTGCATCCAGTATGCCTCGAAGAAACAAATCTATATCCCCATCGGCAAAATCGCGACTACCTCGTATAATGAATGGATCATCAAGGAGGCCGTCCATCTCTTCGCAACGCTCGTGGAGACAGACGAAGAAGCTTTTGTCGAGAACTCAAACTTCTCCTCCAGCCTCACAAACCTTCTTGTGCGGATCACCGGGGTCAACAGCGTCCGGCTGGGGTCCGATACCGAAGCCAAGGTTGTCGAACTTGCCTTCAACATTACTACAAAGATCCGACTTGACCGCGACATCCTCCCAGTCTGGTTCAAGGCCGAGCCGCCCGGTCCGCGTGAGCTTGAGAAGACCCAAGACAAGCATGAGACCTTCGCTGGCCGAACTCAGAGGCAGGACTTCCCGCTGTTCTACATATTGATGGACTACATCCACCAGGAAGGCAAAGTCGGAGACTTTGCGAGGACGGGACTGCTCTACATCATTGAGTGCGCTTCCAGCTCGGAGCAACTGGAGCAGTGGATCGTAGAGAGCGATCTCTCGACGCTCATGTCGACAGGATTAGGTGCTTTGTACAGCCAGCTTAGTCGCAAGCTGGTCATTGACCACCTCCCCGACGACCTGCCTCCCGTTCTTGCCCTTTCCGACTATGAACACCCGACGTCGACGTACGAGATCATAAGCTCGTGCTCCCCCGACTTCCAGCTGCATCTGGAGACTTTCTTGTCGCATCTTCTTTTCTGGCAGGATGTCTTGGAGCACTGTAAGTCAGTCGAGGTCAAGCAAACGCTGCTGGAGCATTTCCAGGTCATCTTTCTGCAACAACTTTTGTAGGTCGATTCTCCGCTTGGCAAGCGACCCGCATCTAACTGGTCTAGATACCCATCTCTTCTTGAGTCTTCCGATATCGATGGCGGCTCTTCCGTCGCTGTCTTGACGTATTTGCGCCGTATCCTCGAATCCCTCGATCATCCGGACATGATCAACCTTATCCTACACTATCTCCTCGGGCTACCGAGCCATCTATCTGGCCGCGGGCCCGGCTCACGAACGTCTATAAGCGACGCGCGCAAACGCAAATCTATGGATCTCGCCTCCATGATGGCCTCAGCGAATTCCGACTCGACTGCGACTCCACTCCTTTTCAATCTCGTAGATCTCATGCTCGCGTGCCTGAGGTCCCACAACCAACAGACAATCCACGTCACACTGCAGTTGGTATCGGCCATTCTTAAGAGACATCACCGGTACGCCGTCATTACTCTGCTGCATACGGATGTCATCGTGGGCGAGAGGAACAAGCGAACCATTGGTGCTCACGAGCAGGAGGTCGACTATCTGGTCAACCTCGCTGGCTCCATCGGCGGCCAGGATAACTTCGATGAAATCTACGACAGCATCGTGAAGGATACAATGGCCCGCCTGGAAAGTCATCCGTGTTCTCTGAAGCTCGTGGCACCTAAAATCTCCACCAACAACCACGAGTTACCTGCGATACCAGACAGCCTTCCCGGCGCTCCTCGTGACGTGCCGCAACATACACTGCGGCCTGATGACCCCCTTCTCAGCACATTGCTGGACCTGTTGGAGACTTTCTTCGTGAATCCTGTCGATACCAACCTCGATTTAACAGACACTGTCGTCAATCTTGCCATTTGCGGCTACATGAGCATCGAAGGCTGGTTGCTGAGGAATCCTCAAAGGTACACGTACGAACATGACGTCAATGACGCCAACCCCACATCTCCTATCACTCCGGCCACACCATTGTTCAATGTGGTGCCTGAAGACCTAGAAGACCCAGGTACCACCGAGGCTGAAAAGCTCAGAGCCATCGAAAGCTGCAGACGTTGTCCTCTCTGGGCTCAACCGTCGTTGCCCCGCATGCTGGTCGTCTTGCAGCGACTCTGCACGCAGATCTCCGAATATCGAGAAAACATTCCCCGCTTCGACGAGCTGCTGCAACACCGTCGAGAGGCCTTTCAAACAGCCGATTCGGTTCACGTCACACCCAGCCTTCCGACGAAAGCTGTGCCGCATCAACACAGCTCAACCCAGACGCCTGACCGCCCAAGCCTGGAGGAGATTTCCCGCAGCGGCTCGCCATCGCGTCCATCGGCCCTCGAGGGCTTTGCACAGCGCCTTCTTTCTGAATTTGGCACGCCCAGCCGTACCAGCAGCCCTCGCGGTCGCAAAGAACACAGCCGTGGCTCGGGCGCGGCCAGCCCAATGCCTGGCAGTACTCCGGGTGGTCACGGCGCCTCGACGCCCTCAGCACGGCCTCTCCCATCAGCAGCTCCCAAGGAGTTCCCGTTCAACTACGATGACCCATCGCACAGCGGCGCGCGTGCATTTTCGCCGAGCAGCGCGGGGGGCGACTCTGCAGCTGCCAGTCAGCAGGCCGCATTCGCAGCGGTTGATCAGAGCATTCTGGCGCGACGGGTCGGCAAGCCGGCGAACATCAAGGCGATTCCTTTGCGACTCGGCCAGGATGAACCGGCGCCTGGCGAGGAACGCGTCACAGCGCATGAACCGCCTCCGAAGGACGACGACGAGGAGCAAGAGGCCGAGGGTCAAGGCGAAGCAGACACAGACGACGGGGAGACGCAGACAGGCAATGATGATGCTGCTGCTGCTGATGCTAGAGACGTCGATGACGAGGAAGAAGGCAGCGAGCGCACCGCGTCCGTGTCGCATGTCATCACAAACGTGCTCATTCTGCAGAGCTTTCTTCTCGAGCTCGCGGCTTTGGTGCAGGTGAGGGCGGGGTTGTTTGACGAGGTACGCTTCGCGTAAGTGCAGGGCAGCGGACCAGATGATAGAGCAGGGCCCTGGAGATGGGCCTCCTTGTGCTTAGGCAGAAAGCGGGAGCATAGTTTGGCGTCGGATGGACCTGGGTAGAGAGCTTTTGGGGCGAAGCCAGATGCTAGCATGGGTATACCGGGATACATTGTTCGTAATTGCACTGGCTCCCCGAGGTGTGTTCGCTTCGTGAGGTGGCCGTAGACTAGATGGCGAGTTTCACTTCTTCTGTACGATGCAGGCTTACTGCAAGTGCTTCCCATCCCATAGTCTTTTAGCAGTCTGCTCGTTGTCGAGGTCTGTTTAGCATGAACGAGGTGAGGGATGTGGAGCGAGCAAGCTCTTATCGTTATCACTTGTCCTTAGCAGTGAGCTCCAGGGACCTACCGGCCTCAGAGAGGAGGGTGACGCGGATGATCGCGTCTCACGTCACTGACCTAGCGCCTTCGCCCATTGGAAGGAAGCTCCCACCCTCCACTGGAATCTTGAGCTGCTGGCCAAGTGCACTTCGTTCTGTCTACATTGCTTCACACCGACTGACCTCGACATCGCAACTCCATCACCTGCAACCTGTCGACCTGGTTTTCATCAATTTTCATCAATTTCTCCGCATTCTCCCGATTGAACGACGCTGTCCACCGCGACCCCCGACTTCCTCGACCGATTCCTCGCGTTTCGACCGATCTCACTCGTCTCGACCGATCCCTCGTCTCGGGCAGACAGACTCCCAGGCCAACCTCTGAAGATGGCTCCCACCCAGAACCACGAAGACCTGAAGCACCGCACCCAGGAATCCGCCCGCGGCGTCTACGCCTTTAGCCAGCGCCAGCTCGACCGCGCCGTCAGCCCCTCCACCCGCCAACAAGCCTACACCAGCGCCGCCGACTTTGCCCACGAGCGCCCCCTCCTCTTCGTACGTGCTCTTCTGTGTCGCTCTTATCTTTCTCTTCCCTCCTTGCCTTGCGTCCCTTCCGCCCCCCTAGCTACCCCGCCCTCAAGTGACACAGAGCCAAGGCTAACGCGCGTCATCGTGATTCTCAACACAGGCCTTTCTCGTCGCACAACTCATCTTCTCCTTCCTGCCGCTCGTCATCTTCGCGACCTTTGCCCTCTCGACTGTCGGCTTCGCCCTCGGCGCCGCTCTCATCTTTGCCCTCTTCTGGATCGGCGTCGCGCTGCTGGTGCTCGTGCCGACGCTGTTCCTGACGAGTGCCGTCGGGCTTCTCGTTTGGATCTGGGCTGCTGGGAGCTTCGTTGTTGCGCGGAAGCTCTGGCAGGTTGCGCCGGCGAGTATCAAGGGTGGACAGGATGGGTCGACCAATGGTGAGCGGACTGGCGTTGTGCTGAAGGAGGAGCCTCGCGATTGAAATATTGGCCGCGTGGTTGGGGGTGGTGTAGGACAAGCATGGGCAGTGCTTTGAGGTTGATATCGCGATGGGGATTTTCTTTGGGATGGGCACAGGCATAGGCACAGGCACAGGCGTATACGGATGAACGGGTTATGACGGGGTAGGGTATCACTGGGCTTATAAAATGTACTGGCAAGAGTCACTTGTCGCATGGATGTGGGTGTTTCTCGTATTATCATTGCTGTTACTGCCCTCGGATGTGACCTGGGGGGCGACTTGCGATTGTTTTTATACGAATGCTTTTCTTAGACAAGCGTACTTATGGGGTGTTCTACTCGGACCCTGCTGGTGTTGACAGTTGCTCGAACCAGCTCATTGCGCCCGTACTTGGCTAGCTGTTGGTCAAGATATCCTCGGACATCTGCTGACTATTGTTCACTACCAAGATGGTTAATAGCCTCGAGTTTGGTGAGTCGCATACATCTTTCCCACCAGAAACCAACTGACCGACTGCGGCAAAACACAAGAACATGGCGAAAGCCGGCGAAAGCCAGTCGACAAAATGTTGAAGCCATTCCATACGGTAATGTTCTAACTTTCCTGTTCTGAACCAACTTTCCGCCCCGCTTCACCTACAAGAGCTGCACTCTTCGATTGAGCCTTCATTCACACTAACGCATCACATGAAGAACACGGCTTTTGCTTCTAGTGCCCATACCCCGCGACCGGCTCCCTCCGGCTGCCCGAATGGGCTTGGGCCTGCGCTGCACTCCACCCGGGCCCGAGACGGCGTCATTCTTCGGGTTCTTAGCCCGACTTAGGCCCGAGGTTGGCTTACCCACCGGGACAGCCCACCCTCCTCCATCTCCAAATCGTGACCTCATTGTGCTTACCCGGTTTTCGCATGTGTCCCCAGTCTTCTCCAGTATTTTCTCCAGTTCTTACAAGTGTCAACAAAAACGTCACAGAGAACTCTGACTGCCCTTCATGTCTCTCCACTCATACTCTGGTCGAGTCGACAGATTGCGCCTCGCTGACGACATACACGGAGAGGCTCCAAGGCAACCTAGCGATGGGTGAACCAATCCGCGACAAACCTCTGCACGGGGATCAGATCCCCGCCGCGCACCTCCAGCCGCCGGTCGCCGTTGTGGGGATGGGATGCCGTCTACCTGGCAACAGCAACTCACCACAAGCCCTCTGGCAGTTCATCTCCAACGGCTCAGTCGCCGACAACGTCCCGCCGACCAGTCGCTTCAGGTACGCGACGCACTATGACGGCTCCGGACGCGCGGGGACGACGCCGTCCCCGGGCGCCATGTTCCTCGGGGACGAGGTCGACATCGCGGCGTTTGACGCGGCCTTCTTCAACACGAGCCACCACGAGGCTGGGGGCATAGATCCTCAACAGCGGCAGCTTTTGGAGGTCATTTACGAATGCCTTGAGAACAGCGGCGAGACACTTGAAAGAATTCGAGGCGCCAATGTTGGCTGCCTTGTCGCCAACAATGGCTGTGGTATGTTTTTTTCTTCTTCTTTCTTTTCTTTTTTTCCGCTGTCGAACATGGCAGTGCAATGAGTTGATGAGTGCGCAGAGTACGAGAGCGGTACTACGCGCGATCCTGAGGACCAGATTCCAGGGCGAAGCACTGGATGCGGCCGCTCTATCCTTGCGAACAGGGTCTCTCACTTTCTAGACATCACAGGACCCAGGTGCGTTCACTTCCATGCATGACGCGAGCCTACAACTCACTCAAACAGCATCGCCATTGATACCGCCTGCTCTGGCACTCTGGTCGCCGTCGACATGGCTTGTCGGTATCTCCAGTTTCAGCAGGCAGATGCGATGATCGTAGCGGGTGCTTTGCTGTACCTCGATCCATCCGCACAGCAAGACCGCGGTCCCATGAACGGCGCGCTTTCCACGTCCGGCAGATGCCACACCTTTGACGCCAAAGCCGACGGCTACATGAGGGCCGAAGGTGTCAACACCGTGTACCTGAAGCGCCTCGACGATGCGATCCGCGATGGAGATCCTATCCGCGCCGTCATTCGCGGCAGTGCCACGACAGGCGACGGCCGAACGCCGAGCCTCACACAGCCTAATCCGGAAGCGCAGGCAAACGCGGTACGTGCCGCGTATAGAAACGCGGGCATCACCGACTTCAGCGCGACCGGCTATGTGGAGTGTCACGGTACAGGCACTCTGGCTGGCGACCCGCTCGAGATCACGGGTCTCGCTTCGGCCTTTGCTTCAACGCGTCCTGTTGACCAGCCGCTCATCATCGGGGCTATCAAGAGCAACATTGGGCATTCTGAATGTGCGGCCGGCTTGTCTGGACTCATCAAGGCGGTCATGGCTGTGGAGCGCGGCGTCATTCCTGGAAACCCGACGTTCATCACCCCGAATCCCAAGATTGATTTTGAAGGATCGGGAGTCCGAGCTTCCCGCACAGCCATGCCGTGGCCGAGCTATGCGGCTGTGCCACGCCGTGCCAGTGTCAACTCCTTTGGGTTCGGTGGATCGAATGCGCATGTTGTTCTTGAAGCAGCGGAAACTTTCATTCGAGATGAGGGCTACCGCAAGACGTTCAAGACGGTACAAGACCAACCCAAACCATACACAAGCAATCAGAACGTACCGCGGAAAGGCAGGCTTCGTATCTTGACGTTCTCTGCAAATGACAGGGAAACGTTGCCGAGAAATGTAAGGGCCATCTCGGACCATTTGAGAGATCCATACGTCAATGCCCAGGTCGACGATGTCGCATATACACTCTCTGACCGTCGAACGCACCACTTTCATCGCGGATTCGTCGTTGCCGACTCACTAGATTTTGAACACAGTAAAATCATCACCGGCAAGCGAAAGGCGCAACCCCCTCGAATCGGCTTCGTATTCACCGGGCAAGGCGCCCAATGGTCTCAAATGGGCAAGGGTCTGATCGAAAACATACCTCTGGCACGCAGCGTCATTGATGACCTCGACTCGGCTCTGCAGGCATTACCGAATGCTCCCCGATGGACCTTGCTGGCCGAGCTGACCGAAATGAGAGATACAGCGACGCTTCGTTGCCCGGAGTTCTCTCAGCCTCTAGTCACCGCTTTGCAAATCGCCCTGCTTGCTGTTTTGCAAGACTGGGGCATCGTGGGGCACAAGGTCTTGGGCCATTCATCTGGCGAAATTGCTGCCGCCGTCGCCGCCAATCTCATCACACCTGCGGAAGCAATCAAGACGGCCTACCTCCGTGGGCAAGCCGCAAAGAGGCAGTCTTCTGAAGAGAACCTGGGAATGATGGCAGTAGGCGTCTCTGCGTCAGCTATTGAGAGATATCTAAGATCTGACGTCCACGTTGCGTGTTTCAACAGTCCCATGAGTCTGACGTTGTCTGGCCACGTATCCAATCTCGAATCTATTCGCAAAGACCTTCAAAACGACGGGCATTTTGCACGTCTACTTCAGGTTGATCTGGCCTATCACTCCACCTTCATGCGTGAAATTGCCAACGACTATCACAAGATGCTCCAGGAGCACTGCCCTTCGTCTGGCAAGCATCTGAGAGGCAACTCAATGCTCTCCTCTGTTACAGGACATGCCATGTCCTCGCAGATAGGACCTGAGTACTGGAAAGCCAACATGGTCAATCCTGTGCGGTTTGCGGCGCCCGCAGCGGAAATGCTCTCCGGGCCTGACGCATGCGACTTCATCATCGAAGTCGGCCCTTCTGGGGCGCTTGCCGGTCCTCTATCGCAGATCATCAAGTCACTGCCCGGTGGTGGGAAGAATATCCAGTATGCCGCAGCCGCCAGCCGAGGATCGGAGACTCTGGCTGCTCTATTCGAAGTAGCAGGAAAGGTCTGGACGAGAGGCGGCCCTGTTAAACTGGCTAAAGTTAACGCGTACGACCGCCCTTCCATCCTTGTTGACCTGCCAAACTATCAATGGAACCACTCGAGGCGGTACTGGCGAGAGGGACTCTCGACGGAGGAGTACCGCCATCGGCCGTTCATATCACACGAGCTCCTCGGGTCCAAAGTTCTTTCCACTAGTTGGCAGTTTCCCACATGGGCCAAAGTCATCCATCTGTCGGATTTGCCGTGGCTAAGGGACCATCGCGTCAATGGCGAAGTCATCTTCCCGACTGGAGCATACGTTGCCATGGCGGCTGAGGCCATCCGCCAGTCGAGTACCATGACGAGATACTCAAGCGGTATGCAGCCCAAGTCTTTTGCCTACAGGATGAAGGACGTCAATGTTCTTGAGCGTCTCGTTCTCGAAGAAGCGGAAGGCTCAAGAATAAGGCTGATTCTCTCTCCTGTTCATGATTCGGCAGAGCAGTGGCATACTTTCACTATCCAGTCCTACTGTGAGATGGATTGGGTTAATAATTGCACCGGGTACATCAGGATCGACGAAAAGTTTGCAGGCGAGCCTTCATTCCCACGGGGAGTTATGCCGTTGCGCTATTCTGAGCCTGGAAAGAGATGCTACAAAAGACTGGCCTCTTTGGGGTGCGACTATGGCGCTCACTACCAACAGATCAAACGATTCCAAGCTGCTCCACCCGAGAAGTATAGCCGAGGGGTGCTGGAAACCGAGTCGCCAGAGCACCATTCATCGTACCCCATTCATCCAGTGACCATTGATGGGTTCCTCCAGCTTTGTGGTCTCTCCCTTCAACAGAGCTTAACGACAGCCGGGGAGAGCGTCAGCATGTTGCCCAACCGTATCGGAAGTCTTATAATACCAGCAAACGAGCTCATTGAGTCGACGTGTATTGGTTTTGAACGCCCTCAGTACGTTGGCTATGGACCAAAAAGCTCAAGAGCCAATTTTACTGTGTCTGGAGGCCTGATACACCCGGAAAGCGGCCGCCTGCTTCTCGATATGAGCGGCGTGTGCTTTGATGTTTTCACGCCCCAGGAGGACTGCTTCACAAAACACACATACACTCGCTATAAATGGGATGTCGATATATCATTGGCAACCGCTGAGGGCTTGAATAACATGCTGTTGAGCCACAGCCCTTCTCCAACCTCGAAAGACGGATTGCAGAGACTATTTGATCTCATCAGTCACCAAACGCCTGATGCTTCAATCATCGAGGTAAACATGGACGATCAAAGCTCATCATGCAGGTGGCTTGGTACTCAGCCGAACAGGCCTCATGCCGCGTACACCCGCTTTACAGGCAGCGAGGCTGTGTTGGCTATGATGCAGGGTAGATACGCCAACTGTGTCAACACAGAGTTTCAGGCTCTCGCGGCTCTTACCCGCAGCGATGCTCTTCGAGGGAACAACGACTTTGCCATTCTGACGGTCGGTGAACGGGTTGCAGAGGACAAAGCCATTCCCCTGCTTGCAAACATTCTGTCGACGCTTAAAGAAGAGGGCCAGCTGCTAGTTACTGACCTCGATCAGGCCACTGCAAACAGAGTTAAGGAGGTCCTTGAAGAAGCTGGCTGCTCCAGCATTAAAGACCTGGCGCCATCACTATCCCGAGGAGCCATTCTTGCCTCGCCGAAGCAGGTCGAGGGGTTCCGAAACCGAACAGACATTACCTGCTTGCATCTTGCCGCCGACAAGTCCCATTCAGAGAGCATACTGACTGGGCTTGAGAGTTCTGGATGGAACCTACGATCCACAAGCTCGACTGAAACGATTCGACAAGGAACCCATGTCCTAATTCTTGACGAACTATACACTACCATCACTGCAACGATTTCTCGTCAACAACTTTCAATGATTCAAGAACTGATCAAGAAAGAATGCGATATCCTCTGGGTCACGACTGGGGCACAGATGAACATCACCAACCCAGATCGAGCTGCCACAACAGGCTTTCTGCGCACACTCAGGATGGAAGAGGTCCATCTACGTATCATAGCTTTAGATGTGGAATATCCTGGAGGTAACGAGACTATTCCTGCTATTGAGACATGTCTCAGGTTATTGGTCAACGCAGATGGCAAATTCAGGCGTGAAAGCGAATTCGTTGAGCAACAAGGCCTGATCCACACGCCTCGGCTCGCGGTCGACGACGAGTTTGAGGTGGCGAAGTTCGATCATCTGAAAGGTCGACAGCCTGAGATGCTGCATTTGCGAGGTGATACTTGCCTGCAGCTTCCAATGGACGTGGGTTCGAACACGTCACTCTGCAGAAAGGTGGAATTTCCATCGATCCTGCAGCAAGATCAGGTAGAGGTGGAAATCTTTGCCACGGAGTTACCACCGAGAGTACAATGCCTGCAATCTACAGCGTGGTCAGGGGCAGCGGGGATCATTACGGCGCTTGGAAGCGAGGTTATCGGCTTGAAGGTTGGGCAGCGAGTGGCCCTCAGTCATGATGGCAGTATGCTGAACCGAGTGTGTCTCCCCTCTGCTTCTGTTCAGAGGATCCCGGACGAGCTGTCGTTTGCATCAGCTGCTAGCCTTTCTGGAACGTGGTTCACAGCGCTATATGGGTTAAAGAGGCTGGCGAATCTTCAAAAAGGCCATCGTGTGCTGATCTATTCGAATGGTAGCCTGCGAGACTTGGCAGCCATAAAGGTTGCCCTGCATCTGGGCGCTGAGGTAACTCCATGAGACGTTTTCCTGCATGAACATGAGGCTGGACTAACAAGTCACAGGTTTACGTTGGAATTTCTAACGAAGATGGACATACCTTGCTCCAGGACGAGGTCCCGATACCACCCAGCCGAATCATAGCATTTGACCGTGAGGGTTCAAGTGCCAACCCCCTTCAATCGGCTGGAGAAGTCATGTTTGACGTTGCTTTTGGCTCTTTCTCGGAGATCCATCTAGTTATGGCGTGGAAACATGTAGCTGAAGATGGTACCCTTGTTTTGACCGAGCGGACCGAGAACTCGACGCAAGTCACACTTTCCTTGGAGCCTTTCACACGAGGGGCCTGTTTCAGGGTTCTGAACGCTCAAAATATACCGAAAGATACCCTCATCCTTAATCAGTGAGTTATATAAACCAAAGATGCCGCAATAGCACCTTGCTTACATCTGTCAGGCTATTAACAGAAAAACTTGGGCTCTTAAGCGTGGACAGTAGCCTATCGTCACTCTCTCCGAAAGTATTTGGTTATGATCAAATCGAAAACGCCGTGCGATGGATGAAAGCCGAAAAGTTCGCGCGGGCGATCCTATCTCGCATTCCGGGCCAGGACGTCATGGTCCAAGTACGTGCTGCCCTTCTATCCTATTGCTATTGCATGTGGCTGACCTGTCCGCCAACAGATACAACCAGACCCCCGGAGCATCAAATTCGCGGAACATGCATGCTACCTCCTGATAGGCGGCCTCAGGGGCCTTTGTGGGAGCATTGCTATTGATTGGGCGAGACTCGGAGCGAAGCATCTTGCCGTAATGTCGCGCAGCGGCTACGATGACGAGACCTCGCAAAGGGTCTTGCGAGAGGTCGAGGGTATGGGCTGCCATATTGATCTTCTACAAGGGGATATAACCATACTGGATGATGTCCGGCGGGTTCTCTCTGAAACGAGCGTTCCAATTCGCGGTATCTTACAGGGCTCGATGGTCCTTCGAGACCGACCTTTTCCGGCCATGACTATCGAAGAGTTTCACCAAGCAGCAGGATGCAAAATCACGGGGACCTGGAACATTCACAACGCATCACAGGACTTGGGCCTCGATCTGGACTTCTTTACCCTCCTCTCAAGCATTGCTAGCGTTCTAGGAGGGATGGCACAAGCCAACTACGCTGCAGGTTGCTCGTTCCTTGATGCGTTTGCTGCCTACCGCCGGGGCCTCGGCCTTCCAGCGTTCAGCGTCAACCTTGGCATCATCGGCGAGGTAGGCTACATGTCACGGGATGAGGCATTGCTCGAAAGGCATATCGGATCCGTTACAACCAGTATCGACGAAGACTTGATGAGACAAATCATACGATACACTCTTCTCCAGCAGAGCGAAGAACCAGTCAGCCACTCGGCCACGTCAAACATTGTCACAGGCATCGCGGTACCGCAGTCCGGCGACTCCTACCTCCGCTTGGACAAGCGGTTTTCGCACCTCTTCGTAGGTGGCGACGCTCAACCTTGGGAGACCGAAGGCGGCGCGACAAGGGATACCGCCCATCAGGCCAGGGAGCTCAAGGCCCTGCTTGCGACGCAACCAAAAACAGCAGATCGTGGGGTGGTGTTGGAACTCGCCATTGCGGTGGTCAGCGATTACATTACACATGCAATGCACTTGAGCGAGCCTGTCGAGCCAGAACGATCACTAGCTATGTATGGAATCGATTCATTGGCGGCTGTGGCTTTCAGGAACTGGGCGAGAATGGAGCTGGGCGCTGGGTTGTCTACAGGGGATGTGACTACGGCGCCGTCGCTGGTCGCGCTATGTGAGAGGATAGTGGACGGCTACAAGGAGTAGATATGATATCTCAACATCCCATGCCCTCTGAGGCGATGATATTCGTCGCCATATGGGCACAACGCAATGCTTCCTGTTGCTGAGTGCCAGTGACATCAGGAGCCTCTCCCGTAGCATTCACTATCAAGACTGTCCTCGTGAGAAGTAGAACCCGAGCTCCACAAGCCCCTGAAACAGGACTAACCCCGCCCTAACTCGACGCTATCACCACATAACCAGATCATCGATCCACATAACGGCAGCCAGAGCGCCATTATCCTGCCGAAAATCCAAATTGCTCTGGCGGAGCAGCTACTGAACATACAAGTAGGCATTTCCCAACCCCTGTCGACATCAACCATTGTACAGTCTGCGTGGCTTAGCTGGTCAGAGCGTCGGTCTCATATTGATTAATATGACTGGATCATCAGATCTAGATATCCGAAGATCATGAGTTCGATCCTCATCGCGGACACAGGTTTTGCTCGCTGTGGTTGATTGAAGATGCACATCATGTCTTTGTTTTTTTGTTCGCTGGTGGTATTGCAAATAGGATAGCCCCGAATCCAGTATTCATGCATTGACCTGTACGACTGCGGACATGCCGAGAGTCCGAGAGCCGGACACACCGACATTTCGGGTGCCGTGACCCAGTGCCTGGCCGGCTCACTGCCCAGCACAATGGACATGCCGAATACGCACCTATAGCAGCTTCCAATGGGCATTGGTCGGTGACACGTTAGATTCGCGGCCACTGATATCTTCGCAGCATGCTTGAATTGACCGTGCCATGGCGCCCTGGATGGTACCTGATCGACGCCCCTGACTCCGACATCGCGGAGACGGAGACATGCCAAAATATTCCAAACAAGGAACACGACGCCGCCTTAGGTTTCCTTGGGGTTTCGCGGTTGAGTTGAGTAATGATGGGGAGATAAATTGACGTCCATTACGTTGGCGAAACCCTTCACGTCCAATCGAAACGGGAATAAATCACAGCCTGGATGAAGCCAATGTTACTTAGGTAATGTTGTACAAAATCACTGCTTGGCGTTTGCTCATCTTCCAATTTTGATCTCGATTTGCGCTCAGATGTGATTCTTGGGAAAGCAGTATAAGAAGATCGTATTCGAAACAGAAAAATGGCAGGCATCGGCAAGTCAAGTGGCAGCAGACAGCGGTCATTGCAGTCCGGAACAGCTCCCATCAAAGCAACACCTTATATCGCGTCCGCCTCGCTTCCTAACCAACCAGACACATGTCAGTCAGATTGATGCATCTCTCGACACCTCGTGAAGCCACTGTCCCTCCATTAAAGGGGCCGAATCTACGTTGAGAAATTTGGCCACTAGACTGAAGCTTCAAAATGGCAATGCACGTCTATGTTGGCGGAGCATGTCCCTGGCTGGATGACCACATCAAGTCGTTCATTCGGCGCCATGTTCCAGACGCCATCTTTGTCAGCGATCTCAACGCCATACCAAAGGACGCATCGGCCGTTTACCAGTTCTGCGATGGCTGGGAGCTCAACGAGAACTTCGCGGTTCTCAACGCTGCAGCCAACGGCCTGATCAACGCGTACCCCAGCAGTGATGCCCTCGCTCGGAAGGATTACATGGCTCGAGTCATCGAGTGCTGGACGGCAAAGAGACCTGACAGCATCTTGAAGACCAATTCGCCGGCCACGGTGCGGCTTTCTCTCGATTACGCCGAGTACGTCGATGACGCCCTGGCGGCGACAGACGATTTGATGCTGCTGTACTCACTGGAGGATAATCTCAATAAAGAGCCGTCTGATCGGGAGTGGTGGATCCTCAAGCCAGCCCTCGTAGACTGCGGCGCCGGCATCCGCATCTTCAGCACGGAAGAGGAACTCGCCAGCAACCTCGAGCTTGCTGAGGACGAAGATGACGACGAAGACACGGACTCCGTCACAGAAAAGTCCGAGCCTACGTCCGACCTCGAAGACGGCATCAACCCGAAAGACTTCCTCCCAACGCTCTCCACACCCGGCCTCAACGCTCTCGATGCACTGGTCACGACAACCTCATCACTAGCCATTGACCCGCGCCCGAAGAAGAAGCAGCAGTACGTCTTCAAAGCCGACGGACGCATCCCATCAGCTCAGATGCGGGAGTTTGTCGCCCAGCGCTACATAGTCTCCATTCCACCGCTCGAGAAACGCAAATGGCACGCCCGGGCCTACGTCCTCTCCGTCGGCCGCCTCAAGGTCTACGTGTTCAGGGAGATGCTCGCGCTCCTGGCGGGCGAAGACTACGCGCCGCCGTGGCTGAACCCGAGCCTGCGCGCATCCCTGACCAACACGGGGCTACAAGAAGACGAAGACATCTTGAGCAAAGAGTCGATGCGCAATCTTTGGGCTGCGCCGGACGATCTCTTGCCTGGTGACTGGAAGAACGAACTGTTCAGGCAGGTCTGTGAGGTTTCGGCAGAGCTCTTCAGAGGGGCGGTGCACACGATGGCTGATAAGTTTACGACGATGAACAAATGCTTTGAGCTGTTCGCGCTGGATTTCCTCGTTGACACGAATGGGAAGGCTTGGTTGTTGGAGGTGAATGAGACACCAGCATTCTATGAACAAGGTGTCGCTGGGTCCATGGCCCTCAACCTGATGGAGTCGGTCATTGGTGTAACGCTGGAGCACATGGGGATGGCGATTGGCGAAGACGAGATGAGCAAGACGTCGAAGGCGCGGATGGTGCAGGTGTTGGACGAGACGGACAGGCTGGCGAAGAGCAACATTACTGAGATCCTACCCGAATAGACGTGGACGATACAAGAGGGTAGAAGAGACCCGGCGCCCGCCTGACAATGACGACAGCTCTAAGCCACCACAACAGCCTCGAAAAATGATAGTAGCCGACCGCTCGCGACCGCCTTTTTTTTTTTGTATAACCTCACGTCAGCATGCGGATGCTTAGTCCCATGCAGCGTTGTGGCAATGGGCTTTGTGTGCCTGGCCTCGCAAGACTGCGTCGGCTACTAATGATCGGGTCGTCTTTCCTGCTGATTTAGAACATCAGGGGACAGCCTTCCAAATGTCATCATGTAGGATGCTTCAGGTAATGTAAGGTAGCAGTCTGAGTCGAAGTGAATCATCACTGTACACAGCAGGTCACTCGTCAGAACCCAGATAGCCTTCACTTCGGACTCAGTGAAGGTTGCGACTGGACCTTGGGTGCTGAATAAGTGCCTATCTGATTGCTGCGGCCTCAAATCCGTGATTGGCTGAGGGCCATATAGCGAAAGCTGTGGCTTGCTTGCGTATCGCCAGGGGACTGTCGGTAAAATGCCAGACAGGGTCCGGTTGGCGGCGTAGGCTTCTACTGCGGGCGCGGCCTGTCTTGCATGCATGGCAGACCGGGACAATCCTCTATGAAGGACGACATGGCATCGCCTACCGGACATGGAGGTAGTACGCTTGGTATCTCCGAATGCGCCTATATGAATCCTTCGACGAACCAGCTTTCATTCAATTCATCAACATTTACGATCTTCATACCATCTCCAGCGCGTCATCCCCAGCTATCGAATACATCGATATTCAAACCAAGGCTGTATCGTTGAAGACAAGTCGGATCAATCATAGAAATCCACGAGTTAAAGCCATGACTACACTTCGCAGAAGTACATTTCTTCCGTACAAAGCTACTTTGACTGAGGAGAACCTCCCCGATCAGTCTGGCAAGGTAGGCTTCTGACTCTACTCGGTATTTCCTTTTGCCAATGAAACAGGTCTTCATTGTCACCGGCGGCAACAGTGGCGTTGGGAAAGAATTGGTCAAAATCCTCTACCAGCACAATGCTCGAGTCTGGATAGCGACACGCTCCAAGGAGCGCACCGATGAGGCCATTGCCGAGATTAAGAAGGCTCACCCCAAGTCTCAAGGCCAGCTCCTCTTCCTCAAGCTTGTGCTTGACGACCTTACGACGATCAAGCAGTCAGCATCTCAGTTTACCTCTCAAGAAACGCGTCTCGATGTCATCTGGAACAATGCAGGCGTCATGCTACCAGCGGAAGGCTCCAAGACCGCCCAGGGCTTTGAGTTGCAGCTCGGTGTCAACTCGCTGGCTCACTTCCTGTTCATCAAGTTCTTGACGCCGCTACTTCAAGAGACTGCCAAAACTGCACCACCGCGAAGTGTCCGTATTGTATGGGTGTCCTCCATGTCAGCTGACTTCGCACCCAAGCCGGCCATTGACTTTGGCAACATGGACTATCGCAAGGAAGAGGACAACATGACGAAATATAATCGGTCGAAAGTTGGCAACTTGATCCATGCCGCTGAGTTTGACAGACGATTTCCGGAGAGCAACATTGTCAGTGTGGTAAGTCCATAACCTCACTCTGCAACGCGTCTATCATCGTCTTCTGACAGTACCATCAAGTCCTTGAATCCAGGACTCTTGAAGACCAACCTACAGCGGAACTTTGGTGCCGCTCAAAAGTTCCAGGTTGTAAGTTATACCTTGACCAGGCCTCTCAGTCCTCCGTCTGCTCATCTATGCCTGTTGTTTTCTTTTGTAAACAACAAGCTGGAGGCGCATAATTTCTCGACATCGTCCGCAGTCCCGGATCTCTGTTGAACGCGATTCTCTTGCAATCATATATCATTGGCTGACCTTTAATAGAAACTCATGGGAAAGCCTGCCAAGTATGGAGCGTACACTGAATTGTTTGCGGGCCTTGACTCTTCAATCACGTCCAAGGACAAGTGGAGTAAGTGGTGAACAGTGTGATACTCCTTGCAATCACAGCTCTCTTGATGCTGACTGTTATCAGTCACTCCATTCGGGAGGCGAGAGGAGCCCCGAGCGGACATCGTCGAACCTGAGCTGGGGAAAAGGTACTGGGACTGGAGCGAGGATCAGGTCAGGTCCTTTCTCTAGCCCGAAGCCTGAAAGGAAGCAGGCCAAGTATGAAGAATAGGTGAGGGCGATGAGCTGTTAAGAGATGACAATCAAGTAATTTTTACGCACATTTTCAGGAAAGTTATCAGGCTTTCTATGGTTGCCCGGAGCCTAGTTGCTCGGCGTGGTCAGTAATTTTTGTACTATTCTGTTATTTGAACATCCCAATACCGTGAAGTATTTGACCGTGTTCAAGAACCGCGTATTGACAATAGACTGAAAGACCGAAGTGTTTCTATCGCCTGTAGCACCTCCCCCCTACATCACAACTCCAAAACTAGCAAAACTCATTGGCGCCGTGTAACGCCATGTCTGATGTTCCGAACCAGGGAATCGAACCCTGAGCCTGACGGTGAGAGCGTCAAATGTTAGCCATTACACCAGTTCGGATTGGTGTGTGGCAGACGTGGACTGCTAGTTCACAAAGTGTGGACACGGGTATGGAGCTGTGGTGGGGGTGAACCTTGCCTGTGCTGGCGTATCAAGTTTCTGCCCATCCGTTATGTCAAGGTATGAAACTCATGTCAGGCAATCGACTGAACAGTGTTGAGATCAGAGCGCAAGGCAGTGAATCAAATTATGAGACGTGGGTTCATGCTCCCACATGCATGTGAGAGAGTGAGCAAGTCCAAGCTACAGCTTGACTGAATATTCTCTCTCGAATTACAAATGATGGTTTTCGGAACAGACGACGTCGTTCAATACGAAACTAATCACAAGCCACCTTGCTTCGACGGCGTCCACGGCCAATGCCTTCGTAATGCAATAACTTATGTACCTGATTAATCACGCACGCCTCAAACAAGTGTAGAGACATGCCGTAGATCCTGACTTGATTTTGGTCTCTTGGTGACCGAATGCATTCCTATTGATAGACACAAAAGCCAGCATCGACCGTGAGGCATCACAGACAGAACTTTCATCAACCGAGCTACCGAAGGTCGAGGCTTTGAGAGGCAGTGAAGAGTCTTGGCAGTTCCGGCAGTTGCAGCTCAGACTTGGCCTTGATGTTCCCTTTAACCATAGTAGGAAGGAGCCGGCGATCTCCCCATGGGTAAGACATCGGTGCTACATGGAACGCAGATAATCTCATCGCAACCTTAGATACCTGAGCACCAGCTAGCCATTCGGAGTAATTTCGCCAAAGAGAAGGTCAATCGCCACTGAGCCAATAATACCACAATGATACAGGATGTATGCCGTACAGACAGCGATTCTGTTGCAATGCCGGCGGGGTGCCATGCCAAGATGATTCGACATTGTGGGCTACGCCCATTCGGGCAGCTCGGCCAGGTACCCGCTGAGAAACGCAACGTGATCTGCGCCGCCGAATGATCTCCTGCCCTATACTAACTACTTCCCCGCGGACAGTGACACGCTCGCAAAGCGGCAGTTCCCATCTTTGCATGAGCACGTTTTCAGGTCCGTTGCACTTTAGGCAGCTGGAGGCATTCAGCTGAACTGCACGTCAACCTTCACCTCAATGGCGCACATCACTGCCTTTGTGACAATATCGGGAAGGAGGATCTTCGAACGGGATGTTGATGGGTAATAAATAAGGCTTGACTACCGTCGGGTACTCCCGAATACCCTTGAAACTTGTTACTCGCACCATTGCTGGTCTGAACTCCTCTATCTCTGGGACAGCCCTGTATCATCGCCATTGCTATGCATCTCCAAACCGCCCTTGCCGTTTTGGCTTCTGCTGCTCACCTTGCCTCTGCTGCTCCCGCTGCTGAGAGCAACAAGCAGAATGCTCCTCTGAGGCTCATCAAGACTTCTGAAGAAGATCCCGGTCGATGGGTGACTGAAGAAGAGAAGGCGAAGTTGGTGCTCGGCTCCAAGCGCATCAACTTCATCGACATCACCGACATCCAGGTACGAGAAACAATGCCAACATTTGAAAGGCTTGAATTGACCCTGGTAGGATGAGGCTGTGCTCTCCGTTCTCTCGACGCCTCCTTCGGAATCTTCCCTCGAGGCCCGTCAGGTCAGGTACCCGACGACCTTGACGCACGTTGCTGAAGCCAATGCCTTGATTGCCGGAGTTTCCAACACTAGGCCCCAGAGCTGGCTTCAGACTTTGACCAAGTAAGACCATGACTTGGTTTTCTGCGTGCTTTGATCCGATACATCGTTACTCACAGACCAAAGCTTCCAAAACCGCCACTACCAGTCGACATATGGCACCCAAGCCAGCACCTGGCTCTTCAACCAGGTCACAACGGTTGCGGCCGCCAACCCAGCTATCACTGTTCGTCGCTTTACGCACAGCTTCAACCAGCCGTCAATCATTGCCCGCATCCCGGGCACCAGCCCCAACCTCGGTAAGTCACTTGACTGCATGACTTCTCACAAGCACTTACATCATGTAGTGATCGTTGGGGCGCACTACGACTCGACTGCTGGGTCCAGCACTGCCCGCGCCCCTGGAGCTGATGACAACGGCACGGGTAGCGTCAACACCCTCGAGGCGCTTCGCATCCTTGCCAACTCCGGCTTCAAGCCCAAGAACACCCTCGAGTTCCACTGGTATGGTGGTGAGGAGGGTGGTCTTCTCGGATCGCAAGCAGTCTTCCGCAACTATGCCTCCACCGGCGCCACCGTCCTGGCCATGCTCAACCAGGACATGACCGGCTACTCGCCCGGCGGCCGCCCTGTCGTCTTCAGCGACTATGTCGATGCCTCGTTGAGCTCCTATGTTACCCTCATCGCCCGCCAGTACACTGGCCTGACTACTGGTACCTCTCGCTGCGGCTACGGCTGCTCTGACCACGCCAGCGCTCGTGCTGCCGGTTTCCGTAAGTTCAACGTGCGCTGTTTCAGGAATATTGATTTTGACGCTTTGCAGCCGCGGCCTTCGTCGCTTCGGAGCCATTCGCCTCCTCCAACCCCAACATCCACTCTTCGCGCGATGTGAGTCTCCAATCTGTCCACGATATTCGTTCTGTCTTGGATCTAATGCTTGATATAGACCTATGCAAGCATCCAGTGGGCCTCTGTCCTTCGCCACTCCAAGTTCACCGTCGGTTTCCTCGTTGAGGCCTCATACCTTTGAATGGGATATGGACTGGACCTGGCCGTTGAACATGGATGGTTCCGTTCAACTTGTAGGCTTACTCGGTTCCTAGAGAAACGATTCGAGGTAGAGTCAAATGAGAACTTCTGCATTACCACAAATCCTTATGAAGCCTCGTTCAAGTTGTACCACGTTTTTGATATCCCATTGTGCCTCACAGTGTGCTCGAACTCCCCTTGTAGGATCACAGTAAAACACCAAAGATCAGATTGAAACACTGTTATGTCCAGTGTTGGCTGCCAAATCAGGCGGCGCTTGGTAAGACACCAGATCCTGATAAGATGGTACTCCACTCATGTTATCTCGCAACTGACGACCCTGGCACGTGGGACTTCGCGATCCCTCCTTTCAACAGAGGCAATTCATTTCTACTCGTAGACGTTCACTCGGCTCATTCACTCACCCACCCTGAGGCGTGTCCCGTGACGCCAATGACCGTGAGGCCAGATGCCTGTACATGAACATACAAAACGCAAAACATACAACACCGGGGATTCGCTAGTGGTCACCCACCTAACTACTAGTCCGGCCCTTACTAGTTTATCGCTGGGAGAGCGGACGGGATCCCGAGTTTTCCAGTAGGTATGGTCGTATGTGTTAGGTCTGGGTTGAAAGGGTGTTTAAGAGGGGTCTGGTAGATTCACTCTAAAGGGGATTATCATGACTCTGGTGCCGACATCGCATGATAACGCAACAAGCATGAAAATGTATTGATCTAAGGCCAAAGCCTGGCTGCAGCTTCATCTTACATGCTAGAGCTACCATAGGCGTGTCTAAGTTGCGCTGAGTACGGTATAAGAAGGATGTGCATGGCAATTTGTACTTTTAGGGGGTTCTGCCACAGGTACCATCACCCCCTTTTAGTTCACGGAAGCTTGTGAAAGTCCCTGAATGATGTTCCCGCCGTCAAATAATCCACCATTTGCGGCAATTGCACGGCACAGAGACTTCCCACGTTCGATAACGTTGGCATCACATTCCAAGTTCGACTGCTCGATACAGCTTAAGGATCCGCCGCCTGGCTACGAGTCAGCCGCATGTTGCTACCATATTTCTTGCATCATTTGACTTACAATCATTACCACCGGGGACACAACGGCCGGTCGCGCCAGACTGACTGGTGCAGGTGTCCTGCTTCAAGTTGGTGTTGGCAACACAGCAAGCGCCAGAAGGAACAGGCCGATTAGCATTCTGCCGTTGAACGAGAGCACTGCCGGATACGTTGATGTCGGTGACACGAGCGCAGGCCACGGTGGCCAAGCCTAGTAGAGCGGTGGCGAGAGAGAAGCGCATTTTCAGTGTGGACCGGTGGTGCGTAATGTTTCGAAAAATGGAGCTGATAAGGAGTGAGAAAGGCTGACAACAGTGCTGATAATACCGACCAGCGGAAGACGAATAGAATGCAGTACAGAAGGGTGAATAATGAGTTGCGGGGTGAAGCTATTGAGCTGCGACGAGCAGCTCGAATATTTATCCTAAATCGAGAATTGGTAATCCCAACTCTTGTCGTCGTTGTCGCGCGTCAGTGAGCTGACAAGAGGGACCAGCCGATTGAGTATCAGGATGAGACGAGACGAACGTGGGTTGGGTCACCGGACTGGGCGCAAGGGGTCAGTCCCATGCGTCAGGTTCGAGTGTCAAAAGTCGAAACACCCCCATGAAGATCCATTTTGAGACGCTCTCAAGCGATGGCAACATAGGGTTAGGAGCCATTTACGGCCTACAACACAATGCAAAGACATTTTAGGTTGGTCTGGTCCTTTTTTTGGATGACAATAATTGGTTGATGTCAAACACCCGCTGCAGAGACACTACGCCAATGCCCTCAAGGCGTATCCTCCTTGAAGCAAAAGAATGCATGATGAAATGCTCGCACAACTTTTAGGCATCTTGACAGCCTAGCAGGAAACAGGACTTCACGCGCCTAATCTCAATCTCGAATCAACTGTTTTCTCCCCTAGTCGATTGGCAAGCAACCTTGACAGCAAATACCGTTCCCGATTCAAAATCATTCCGAGGGCGGCAGTGATAGTCCTGGATGTGCTTGTAAGGAGGAAAGACTTGATCATCCAGTTTTGGGGGAGAGTCGCCACCTGCTCGTGAAAATCACCTGCAGACAGCCGTATTTTGACTACTGGGCTTCTTCGTCAATACGTGGTTTAGAGCAGATGAAGAGGTCTTCCGCAAGGTCCGCAGGCAATTAGAATAAAGGTTGATGAGCCACTCAATTAAATCGGGTGTAGAATCCCAAGACTTCAATGCATGCTCCAAGGGTGATCCATGATGTACATCAAAGTGCTGAGATGATAATAACCTCTCGTCTGAGAGCGATTTAGATCAACATGTCGTGAGAGGAAACCTTTAGAAGATACATGTGTTATTTGGACCGTGATTACCGTTCCAACTTTGTCGTCTCGATACAGGTTATGAAGTTCGGAACCTATAACTCTCTTCTCTGCCCAGCGGCATTGCCGTTCACAGAAAGGAATGACTGTCTCAAAGCGGTAGTGGCTACTCTGTCACATGGCAACCTCGTGCGTGTATGTTTTTTGAGATATATGTATACTCAATGTGAAAGACAGGGCCAAGTCATTCACTCATATAGGCTCCTTCTTGAAGATACGGAGTTGTGGACTACTTCTCTATGTGATCGGTCGGTGAAGATTCGCTAATCTGTGACGCCCTCTGAGCTCGGCACTTGGATGCCAAAGAATTCTCGCAACGAGGGAACGAATAATTAAGCTCTATTAGTGGCCAGAATGAATGACGTCTTCTGTCACATTGCGGCCCGTTGACTCTCCTGCGCAAGAGCCCCTCGGTATGTTCGGCACCTTTTCTGACTTTTTACGATCAAATAGCGGGCAGTCCGCTGCCGGTCTTATGGTTTGCATGGGTCCTGACATCAGGCCAACAGCTGGAATCGCCAATAATGAATGTAAGTACTCTTCAATTACCATATCGGCCAAGTCAAGTGGAAACAATACCTATAACGATTTTCATGATGTACTGTGGCTATGAGGTTATTTGTTGCGCATGCCCCGCTTGTTTACCAAGGAAGTGGCCGCATTGGGACTGGAGATGGCCTCAGGTCATCATCAGCTTCTCAAGTAGGGGCGTGGTACAACAATGCGAGGCGAGCTTATCAGGGTCATGAAGGCTTCCTCTAGCGACATCACATGCTCTCGGTGTGGCAAGCGAACCAAGCGCCCAATGGACTGTTAAGATGGGCCGTCCATGCCAAGAGCATTCACATACTGGCCAGCAGCAGCCAACAGGTCAACGGCGCTGGTTGACGCTGCTGCTCAGGGCATCCCCGCCGAAAGTTCACTGCGCCCATACCACGAAGTACTCTGTGCGAAAAGGCAGTGTGGAGCGGCCAGCGGCCAGCTCACACGAAGACTCACACACATCAGAGTCCAGGCCACGCACGAGCTGAGCACCCTGAGCTTGAGCACCCCGACCTGCCCGAGCATCCTGAGCCTGGACACCCTGAGGCGCGAGCTGCTCAGCATCATCCCCCGTTCCCCGCTCCATCATGTCGTCACAACGATCACGCTCCGTTGGCCATGTCTGCCATGTCATCACAATCACAGAAATGCCCAGAATGGTGAGGTGCAGGCTGTGGTGATCTTGTTTGAATCCAGGCATCACAGCCGGTGTCTCCCCTCCCCCTATTTGACCGTTAAATGGGCCGCGCAAGCCGCAACCCCCGCCAGCCCCAGGCCCAGACCTGTGGTGGCTGCACGAGAAAGTGCGCCGTCCCGATGTGGCACCGTTTAGAGCTGTGGCTGGTGACGTCGCTGGGGGCGCATCGCTCCGTTTTCACGACTGGCGTTCCCCCTTTCACCCTCAACCCCTGCGCCCTGCCCTTTGGAACCCCCCCTGGTCTTGTTGGAGACTGGACTCGGACTTCGGTCTTGGAGTCGTATTGTCTATCCCCATTCCCGGACCAATTGCTCCAGTGCAATTTCCAGGTGGTCATCCCATTGTTGTTCTGTCGTCTCATCCGTCCCTCCTCGGTCTGTCCTGGGCTTCTGTGAGGCGCCTCTGTGCCATCGCCTCAAGGGCCCCCTTTTCCTAGATGCTTCGCTCTGTGCCAGGACGCCAATTCTGACCTTGACCTTGGCTCGATGCTTAACTATTGTCGTTGAACGGTCGGATACCACCTCACCACGCTGACACCGGCTCGCGAGTCAGTCCCAGCCCTGCGAGCAACGTCGAGAGAAGCTCACCCCAAGCCCAATACCACAGCCTGTTATGATCACTTTCCCTTCCCGCCCCCCGTCACCCGAACCCCGGTGCAACACCAGATCGAATCGCACAGGTCTCCTGTCCCCGCCCGAGGCGATAAGGAGTAGACACGGTAACATCCCGTCCCAGCTCCAGGCTCACCCCCCCTGTGCCCACCCGCTGTCAAGCCCCCTCCAGGTGCTCCCCCAAATTCGCAAAGTGCAAGAAAAACCTGTTTTTTGTCTGCCCACCCCCGATGTGATCGAATGCGGCTCCCGACGACTGCGTAACCTCGCCCCGGAAGTCCAGACCTGCCTGCCGGGAACGAGGGCTCTACCTACCAGTGGGAACTATGACTGTGAGGTAACCGCTGGCGATGACCATTCACAGCAGTGCACCAGTCCCCTCATCACGGCGATTGGGCTCACAGGAGAATGCCTACGGATTGGGCAGATTCTCTCCTTCTCTCTCCCTCTCTCTCTCACCCGACGCGGGGCAAGCCACGCCGTCAAGCACGAGAATGCACGTCTCGACCGATGACGCTTGTCACGAGGGGTGAATCGCGGGACCTTGCATTTTCTGAATTTTTTTTTATTTTCTTTCCGTCGGGTCTTTCGCTGTCCCTTCCCAAAAACAAGAATGGTTCATGAAGAGGAACCAGGGGCCGCGTGTTCCATAATCGGTGAAGTACTATTACACAAACTGATGCGTTCCGACTTGCCTTTTTCCCTTGATCGGAGCAAATCATGTATGACGAGATACCGCTTTGAAAAAGATAAGATTGGAAAAAAGGGAACCGCTGAAGAAGTAATCCGTCGCAATTCGGGTACAAATGAAATTCGTAATACGCCTTGTTTTTCGGTCCGGGGGAGAAGGGCGTTTCGTAGCTCGTGGCTAACCACTATTAATCCATGTCGCTGTCCTCGGTCAGTGTTCATTGTCTCTTTTCACGTGGGGTGATGGTAATAGAAATCGTTCACAACACAAGGTGAAAGGAGTGAGACAGAGCTAGAGGCGAACGCCGCCGACGGTTGTATGACGCTTGCCAATCCCGCCCGCGCTGCCTTGATGTCGCGCATTGTTCGACAGGCGACGGCGCCCAGCTCTGACAGGCGGTGAATGCGTCCGCTCTGCCCTCCCCTGGGAATTCGGACGATGGGCGGCCGCTAAGATTTAGCTGACGCCACGCTCTGACCGTGACGCGCGAGTCGGAACCCCGGCCGCGTGGGCGATTCACAGCCAAAGCCCGGCCCAGCGAGTCGTATGCTCAGTGTACTGGCGCGCCGAAGGCACATGCGCCCCAGCTGTCGTGGCAGGCAGGGAATCGCAAGGGAATAAGGGAAATAGAGGGAAAAACGGGGAATAGGGGGTACTCACAGCAAAGCAAGAGTCAGATCACCGTGGATCCTCGCCTTGAGTTCAATCTGAATCTCGAGGTTGAGGTCTAGCCTCAGCTTGAGGGGGTCCTTGCCGCCGCCACCGCCGCCCTGCTGCTGCTGCATCTGCTGTTGTTGCATCTGCTGCTGCTGCATCATCTGCTGCTGGCGGTACGCGTCCTCGCCGCCCTGGTTGCGGCCGCGGCGCGACATTTGCTTGTTCTTCGCGTCCCGGTCGTCATTCATCCACGACAGCTGCGAGCGGCCCTTGGTTGGCCTCTGCGCGGTGCGACTCTTGGGCTTCTCCTCCTCCTCCTCCTCCTCTTCGGACTCGGACTCGGAGTAATCGTCAGAGTCAGAGTAGTCGTCAGAACCCGATTCGTCTTCCGAGTAATCATCCGAGTCCTCCTCGGACTCGGGCTCAGGCTCGGGCTGCTTCTTCTTGGTCTTCTTGGGCGCCTCCTTCTTCTCCTTCTTGGACTTGGCCTCGGGCGCTGCCTCCTCGGCATCGTCCTCAACCTCTTGTACCCTGTCCTCGGGCTTGATGTCTTCAGCCTTATCCTTGGTCTCCTCTGCCTTGTCCTCGGGCTTCGCCTCATCACTGGCGGCGTCTACCTTGTCCTCAGGCTTGGCTTGTTCCTGAGCAGCCTCGGGCTTGGTCTCCTCAGCCTTCTTCTCAGCGTCTTCGGCAGGCTTGTCGTCCTTCGTCTCGTCGACCTTCTTCTCGGCCTCCTCGGGCTTAGCTACCTCAGGCTTGGTCTCTTCAGGCTTGGCCTCTTCAGGCTTGGCCTCCTCCGCCGCCGGCGCTGGCTCAGCCGGCTTGTCGTCCTTCTTCTCAACGGGGCTGGCTTGCTTCTTCTGCGCATCGGGCTTCTTCCTTCCTGCCTGGCCTTGCGCCTGCTTCGGCGCCTTCTGGGCCTCGGGCTTGTTCTCGCCGGCAGCGCCGGGCTGTTGCTGGTCCTGCCTGTGGTCAGCCACCTCTTTGCGATACTACCGAGAACCTGTCCGAGCTTACCTTGGTGTCCATTGCGATGTGTGATGAGGCGAGGGGGGCGAATACGTGTGAGACGAGGTGCTGGTGTTCTCTAGTGTAAGACGTATGTGAAAGTCCAGAACAATGGGTAAGCTGGCACCATATGGGAAGCTCTGGCGTGAAGAACCCTTAAATCAGATCCCCAAAATCGTATTGATCCACGTCTTTCGAGAACAAGGCACTGCGACAAGCAGGAAAGCACGATTCTGGCTATCCGTGACGCAATATGGGGTGGCAGACGTGGGCGTTTCGCAGGCCTGCTGTTTCCTGTTCACCCCATTCTGTGATATCACTTGATACCAGCACGCCCCGCCGGACTGGAAAACGCCCAGTCTGTAAACAGGTTTCGGGGACAGAAAGGGAGGGGTCGAAGAAGACATGCAGGGTCTTGACAGCTCCGGCCGAGAAGGTCAGGGTGACGTCTTGCACGTCGAGCTCTCGAACGAGATATTGTGAAGCAACATGTCTGGTGTAAGCGGGATGACGTCGGAGTCAGGGTCGTACCCTTGTAGGACGAAGGTGGGTGGTGTGGTCTGGCCTCGAGCGGTCGAGAAGGGGGTAGAGGGGGTAGGGTGTGGGTAGTTCGGGCAACCATGCCGAGACAGGGATGATAGTCCAGCGCCTTGCCAGCATCGGGCTCGCGGATACGACGAATCCATATTTCTCTAAGGCTCTCGAAAGTAGTCTGACTGAGTGGCTGGCTTCTGCCACGGACCAGAAATTCAGGCTTGCGCACTCGCATCAGAGACGCAACGTTCGACATAGGCCCAGTGCAGCCATGGACATCATCGCGCTCCTCGCCATTGCCGCCATCCCCACAGTCATCGGCACCGGCCAGGCCATCTCGGCCCAAAAGAGAGAAAACGAAGCACAGAAGGAGAAGGTCAAGTTCGGTATCGGCGCCGACTTGACCATAGATGGCCACATGGAGGAAGCCAGCGGCGTGTTGATCGACGGCCAGGTACGGCAAGCCCCCGATGTTAGATGCCATCGAGGACGAACGACTGACGAGAGATCGTGACAGATGTTCCTGGATCACAGCAAAAGTCCCGTCAAGGGCTTCCCCTTTTCGGGTTGGTACTTCATGTATCCTGGCGAGGAGCAGCACATTGGTCTCGTCTCCATGACCTCAAACGACCCTCCCGCCATGGGCTGGATCTTTGTCGACGCGGACACGCGAGCCGTGCGATTTGGCGGTAGAAAGGATACCGTCGACCACGTTATAGGCCCCTGGCACTGGACGCCGAACGAGAAGTACGTCTCTCTCAGAGGAAGTGGTGATGGGTTCGCCGCAGTCAGAGCAGACGAGGAGGGCTCACGATGGGCCGTATACTGGGACCCTGACGGGTCACTCGCGCAGCAGACGCCTGTTGACCGTTATGTCCCAATAGGACTGAAGCGGCAGTTGGCACTTGGCATAAACAGCCAGTATGTCAGGGACTGACGGCCTAGAATGCGAAGCAGCAAGGAAAGCAGGGCATGCCGGAGCGAGAGGGGGGGGGAGTGTGCAGAGTACAACGGTCTCCAACGACCTTCAGGGCATGGCGTTATTGGGAACCAGGGCGTTTTGGTTTCTGGGGAGAGACAGGGTATCGACAGTCGTGTCCACGTTGCCATAGCTTGTTTGATGGCCCGAATAGACTAAGTTAAGCGTCATGGGCTCCATTGAAAAACCTCTGAGTTGGTGTGCTTGACCCTGGAGGAGGCAGACATGGTGCAGCAGATGTAAGAGGGAGGGTAAATGTGCATGAGAGGGAGGTGAGACAGACCTTCCGTTCTACGCCAACTACCCTTCATTGGCGAGGAGAGGCGTTGATCCGTAGACCCCCTAAGACCACTCCACAGACATGTCCACACCTCTTCCGCACCTCCCCCTGTTACCTGCCCCATCATCCTAATTTGGGGCGCTCTCGACGTCATACGGGGCCGGGATGTCAAGAGATTGTGACGAAATCCCGAGTGACATGAGGAAGGGAAGCAGGAATTCAGGGTCCAACATGATCTCATCC